CTCTTGCATTGGCGTGTCCTGCGATTTTCGGCTCAGCTGCTGCGGCAAGAAGCTTCCTCGCCGTTCTCGGGCGCCGGCTGGCAGCTATCCACCACCGCCGCCTGCTCCTGTCCCTCCTCCTCACGCTGCTCCATGTCCAGGGCATGCCAACGTACAGGACCAGGGCAAGTAGCTACAGGAAGATGCGCAGATCGCGTCGCGGTGGGATACAACTACTACTGCCCCGCTTGGAATCCCTGTAGAAGTTTTACATCCGTATATGAATACCCTTGTATATTACAAGAGATTTGTAAAATACAACCGGATATTCCCACATGTATATGCTGCGCTTGGTTCGTCGGATTTTTGCTTGTTTCGGAGAGTCTCTCCCGTGCGCTATGCCGTTGGCTACCAGAAGAACGAGCGCCAGGCGTCGTCACAGCGCGGCCACAGCGGACGCAGGATCCTGCTGCAGTGGCGAAGGCAATCCGGCGGCAGCGGGGACGCCGTGGACCGGTGGTGGTGGAGGCGGACGTTGGGTGCTGCAGCGGTGTTTGGTTGCAGTGGCGGCGAGCGCACGCGCTCCGGCAGCGGCGCGGACGCTGCGGCACCGTCGACTCGAAGCTCGGCGGCGCGCAAGCACCCATGGTGGTGGCTGCGGACACTCGGCGTCAATGGCGGGCCGTGGTGGTGAAGCTGATGCGGCAGGACTGCAGGAGGCGACTGCGCTGGTGATGATGGTGTCTCCGGGGAACTACGGCGGCGCTCCGGCGAGCGGTGGCGGTGGCCTCGGCGTGCTCCGGTTGAGCCGTTGCGGCACTTACCTCGGTTGTGGCTACCTAGTCAATCACGACCGAGCAAGAATGGCGGAATGCCAGCGACTAGGGAAAACGACGGACATAGCAGTGTTTTGCAAACTGACGGAATACCAACGATATCCAAGTGTAAAGTGAAACCGGTGTAAAAGTTACGACGCAAAAACGACGATCCAAGTAGCTCGTCCGTTTTATTTTTATGGGGGTATACTTTACACGTGTAGATGGCTGGAAAACGGCAATCCAAGCGCAGCCTACAAGACTGTCTGTATTTTGTTGTTTGTGTGGCATATATGCTTCTCTGGTGTAAAGTTGTTTCTCTTGCTTGTTTGTAATGTACTCCGATCAGTTCATCTGATAATGCCCGTACAGTTGGTGAATAATTGCAAGTGTCATCCGCAACGGAATTTTTACTCCACTTGGAGAGTAGTATGCCTGATATATCTAAATATGATTTTATATATTTGGTTCGAGCGTGTGTGTGTGTGCGCGCGCGCCTTTTGCCTCGTCGGACAATCTTGTTTTAGAATTCTATGCAGGCGGTCATCTGAATATAGTTAGTGTTAAAACGAAGTGGTGGAAACTTAAGGGAAGACAACTCATGCCCTCAAGGAGAGGGTTATAAATGAGGGGAGAAAGGAGGTGAAGCAAACAATATGTGGATGAAGATGATAAGGAAGACGACTTCAAAGAAGTTTGGGGTAACCAACTCAAAAAACTATAAGTATACGCCAGCTAACCCTACAAACAAAATCCCAAGCATGCAATAGCTAGCCCTACAAACAAAATCCACAACCATACAACAACTTCTCCTACAAACAAAATACATAAGCATAAACGGCTACCCTACAAAAAAAATTCATAGGCATGCAACAAATACCCCTACAAAAATTCATTGGCACAAAGGCCGGTAACACTCCGGAACTCACCCTGCTGGAGATGGAGTATGCATGGGGGGGGGGGGCTCAGTGGAGGTTGACGGTGGTGATGTTGCTCTCCCAAGACCCGCCAAACCCTGAGGTTCCTGGGTCAGCAACACAACCGGACTGGATCTGCCATCATGCCACTGTGAATGGGCGGATGTGCCACCTCGCTGCCGCGGATGGCCGATCTGCCAATGTGCCACAACGAATGGACCAATGTGCCACTGCACCGCCATGTAAGGGTCGATGTGCCACCGTGTCACCGTGGATGGGCTGATTTGCCTCCACGCCACCTTTGCTCGACGAGTTGAAAGTTGCGTCAGTGATGCTAGGGTTTGGTCGTGGACTAGGGAAGGGGAAGTGAAATGGACGAAAATTGAAGGGTGGTGCCTGATAATCCTTAGAAAAGAAGAAGAGGAAAGGCTGCACCCATAGGTACTCACGAACTGCAGGCGATTTTGATGGAGAAACCACCCGCACTGGCTCAAAACCTAGAGGCGGCTTCGAGAAACTAATCGTCTCCAATCCTTCCCGCAGGCGGTTTTGGCTTACCAACCGCTTCCAGAGCTTAATATGATAAAAATAATTGCCTCCATTATAGGTATTACAGGTGGTTTTGTTTTGCTTGGTCACAACCACTTTCGGAGCATGCTGCTAATGCCTGTCTTTTTTTACCAGTGTTTGAGCCCCGATCTTCTTGCTTTTGTGATGGATGAGATCCCAAGGGATATATAAGGAGATCCCTTGATGTATGCTCTTTGCAGATGATGTGGTGCTTGTCAACGATAGCGGGGCGTGTGTTATCAGAAAGTCATATATGGAGTTGACAATTATGCTATGATCTAGCCGTCCTCAAGAGCGTTTGATCCTCATAAATAACAATTCATGGTGTAATCCTTTGAGTAATTCTAACCACCCCTCTACCTCATGTTCAACTCCTTCCCGGTACATCCGACTCTTGGGGCCTGTGAATACGTCACAAGTCTTTCCCAACAAGAGGCATGAACAACTGACGCAAGTTCCAAATCGTGGGTTGGGTAGTTAACCTCGTGCTTCTTTAGCTGCCTCGACACCGACTTGTCCTTAGCATTACTAAGATGAGACCACTTCACTGCACACTTTTACTTTTTATTGCTAATCACGTTCCATTGCTCTGCTACCACCACAATACACAAAAAGCGTTAAATCTTTTAGTACTTGGAGTGAATCCTTGTTGTTTTTGCACTAATCATTTCCTTCAACTCCTCGTGGGATTGATACTCTTACTACCAAAAGGATCTACAATTGACCCTCTATACTTGTGGGACATCACTCCCGTTGTTTGGAGAACAGTCACCACATGCGCGGATGCCGCAATCCCTAGTGTCCCCTGAGCTCACTGACAAGCCTTGTTGTGCCACCCCATGTCCTGCCTCGACATCGTGCATCGTCCAACTTCAGCTTTGTGTGAGGGTCTGATGGCATCCATGCTCCCCTCCAAGGCGCTCCGCCGTTGGTTTTGGGTGTCTGTTGTCTCTAGATCCCTGCTACCACTGGCTTGGCAACCCTTTCCGAAGTGGTGTTGCAGTCCGCTCTAACTGAGCTTTCCTTAATAAACCATGGACAACCCCTATCTCCGTCTCCTTTCTCTTTTCAGGTTGCCGCGAGGCTGTCTGGCATGAATTGCGAGCTTTCTGGAGTGGGTGTATAGGCTGCTCTGAGTGGACTATTCCCTGCTTCGACTATGTTGCAGACTACTCCGACGACGCACCCTCTTGGTGCGGTTGATTCTGTGGGCGTAGGGGAATCAAAGCAGACTTCTTTGGTGGTTTATCCCCTTTTGTTAGGCCCTACTCATCACCGTTGCTTGATTTGTCAGTTGCCTCTGTGAGGACATCGCCAATGATGTGGTTCATCATGCCCGAGTTACAAATGATGGGTTGGGAGAACACTTCTCCTCTGTCCATGGTACATGTGGACTCGCTTGTGCCTGGAGTGTGATTTTGCCGCCACCCACAACACCACCATACCAGACCAGTCAGGTGTCCGTTGCCGTGGAGCATGGAGGTTTGGGAAGTGTTGTTTTCCACTCGCCTGAGCCCTTCAACCAGGTGGTTCCTGTGGGTGACTGAGGTTGTAGCATCTGGTACATTGGCACCTGTTTTCGAGGCTATCTTCGTTAGAAAGTTTCGAGAATTGATTGCGAGATTGGATGTTGCTAACCCTGAATCTGGCAAGACTATTGGTTGCCCCCTGAAGGAGAAGTCAATGAGGGACAAGAGCAAAAGGGTATGCGGTAGCCATCGTTCCAGCATACCGAAGGAGAAATCATTGCATAGTGAAGACGTCTGCGGCCGCTTGATGGATGATTCTCTTCTTTTTAGGTTGTCATGTCAGATGTCTTTTTATCGATGGGCCTGCCTTGCGATGTTGTGTTCCATGGGCCGGGGGGTTGTGCTTGTAGCGGGTTGGGGGCATTTGTTCGTCTACTGGGGTGATTGTGAAGATTCATGCTTTGGGTGTAGTCCATAGATGGTCATGTTGTAATGGTTTTGGTCTGATTTTCCGTCAATTGACTAGGCAATTCTCTTATGCTTAATTAATCAAGAGGCAACTTTTTTGCCCTTTTTTTTGCCTTCATTTCAAAAAATAAATAAACGATTGCAAGTGGAGCACCGCAATGTACATGATGATGATGTGCAACGATCTATCCACGACAACAAGATCAGCTTGTCCATGCATGATCTGACCAAAGTGCAACAGAGGACTCGATTGGATATCGTCCTACTGTTGTAAGGACTCTTGCGTTGTCTGCACAACAATTTCCTTTTAAGTATCATTTCTTAACACATTAGTGTGCAATTGCTCTTCTGACTCTGATCCGCAACGGAATTTTTACTGTAGAGATCAATGGTGTAAGATGCGCCATGCCTTAAGATTTGTGTAATTCAGTCGATCTAAACGGTTGATTACCGTGGGTAATTCAGTCTTTCGCCTCCAACGCTAACAGTCCCCGCGCCCGCCAGCTCCGCCCTCCGCCGTGCACGAATCTGTTGTGGAAGGCAAGCCGGTTTTTGCGCGATAGCGCTCGGTTGCCGATGGGATGCGGGAACCACTCCACTCCTGTTTGCTGAGAAAGAGCCAGGCAGCCATGCGTATCCATCTTTCCCGTTTGAGGAAACAGATCGGACGCCAGAAACAAAAGGAGTCTCTGGCGTGTACATCCAAGCTTCAACAACCAACTACCTAGGCTAGCGGGAAAAGAAAGGATCGACTCCACCGCTCCAACGATTCTCATCCAGCCATGGCCGCTTCCTCGGCTCCTCTCCTCCTCTTACTATGCCTCGCCGTCGTCTCCCCGGCGGCAGCGCGCACCGAGGACCTCCTCGCCGCGGCCCGCGCGCCGGAGGCCGCCGCCTGGCTGCGCGGCGTGCGGCGGCGCATCCACCAGCGCCCGGAGCTGGCCTTCCAGGAGCACCGCACCAGCGAGCTCGTCCGCCGCGAGCTCGACGCCATCGGCGTCCCCTACGCGTGGCCCGTCGCGCGGACGGGCGTCGTGGCCACCATCGGCTCCGGCGCCGGCCCGGTCGTCGCGCTCCGGGCCGACATGGACGCCCTGCCCGTGCAGGTACGCTACGTACCTACTTGGTCCTTGGCACACTTTACACGTGCACCCGCTAGGGCCTAATGTGAGATCTCCCATATCACGCGGTCGAGTAGTATACTACCACACGTTGCTCAACTTTGGGCAGTTTTTTTCTTTTTCCAATGGAATTTAAGCTGTCGTGTTCTAGTTGTATGCATCCACAAGAAAAAGTTGCTGTAGTATTAGGCATCTGGCAGAACCGCAGAATATGTGGTGACATGGATTGGAGTACAGCTGATTTAAGCTTTTTTAGCGGTACGTGTCCAACTCAGTTCTGTTCATGAAGTTGTTGTGACGATAAGGTCAAGATCTTCACACGATCGGACCAGCAGGAGATGTTAGTTACCCTTTTGGATATGCTAGGTTTATTTACGTGGTCTTACCGCCTGAATGAATTCAGTTGGACATATGAAAATGAACTCCAACAAATGTGGAGGTTAAAATATGATAATCATATGGGAGATGCGAATGGCGTATAGGATATGCTCCGATAATAATCAAGACAAAGAAAGAGAAGTAGAGAACCTCGCTCCACCCCTGAATGCCGTTGGATCTGACCTAGGGATACGTGGCATGCATGATTATCTGAGTCGCCTCCTCTGGAGAATTATTTTAACCACGGAGGCGTGAACTGCCCCTGTGAGGCCTTGTACAATGGAGGTGCTTAGAGGAGGTGCTTAGAGAAATAAACCAGTCTTTTCTTAAGCACCGGTGCTTATTTGTACAGGATAGACGCTTAACTAAGCGTCTCTCCTGTAGAAATAGGCACCGGTGTTTCAGAAAAATCCGGTTTATTTTTCTAAGCATCTTTCTAAGCACCTTCCATTGTACAAGGCCTGAATGGTACACGAACTGAAGATGGTACACGAACTGAAGTTCAGTGGCTAGCTGACTTGTTATGAGCCCACATCTCATCCACCCAAAGTCAGGTCTGAACAGTGCCAGCACACTGCTCAAAATAATACAATAATGAAATGCACACATGCATGGGAACAATATACGGTTTCACCCCTTTGCATGTTGGTTACCTCTAAGGCCAACTCCAAGGCGCGACCCCATTCTGTCCGCTCGCGTCCGTTTGGGGGTAAACAGATAGATCAGGCCTCCCAACGCGCGGCGACAAACGGACCGTCATCCGTTTTCTGTCCGCTTTCGACCAATACCCAGCCCAAGTTTGGGCCGAGTTTGCGGCCGAAAGGACACACGCGGACGGCAGGCCCCTCTCTTTCTATCCCCCACCGAACCCCCTCCAGCCGCACCCCTGCCACTCTCGTCCCTCGCCGCCGCCGCCACCGCCATTGCCTCTGTGCAGCTCGGCCGCGCGCTCACCCCAACTCTAGTCGCAGCTTAGGCCAACGTCTACTTCTTTAGACTCAAAAAAGAAAGAAGCACACAAGATCGAGCATCCGTAAATCAACAATGAATGCATCGACAAGGCACTAATCCAACTTACGGGAGCAGTTATGGAAGTTGAATATCTTCTAAAATGTCTTCTTTTGGTTCTTGTTTTTTTTGTCTTGCTATTCTAGTTAAGATTTGGTGATGTGCTTCCATGTATCAAAAATCAATGATGAAAAATAAAAGATGTGTTTGCGAAGAAAAATGCATGTGGACAGGATGTGGCCGAAATGCGGCCGTGCTGGGCGCACGGCCGGCGCATCCATAAATCTGGACGGACACGACCTCATTACCACTTCCAAACGGACGAAATCCGGACAAAGCGGACGTCCGTTTGGGGTCTCGCGTTGGAGTTGACCTAAGGAAGGACACCAACTATTGTTGTTAGGTGTGGCTAGATCAGTCAGAGACTGGTCTCAGTTAAGTGTCAAGTGACAATACATATAAAAAAGAAGAAAGAAGAAATTTAAAAGAAAATTTCACATGGACCTCCACGTACGATCTCACGAATATAGAATCAACTGAGATTTGGTGAACAACAATCCAATAGTTAAGGAGAGCTCTAATTCTTCTTCTGCAACCATTGTTAACCTGGTGCTCTATAAAAGCAATTTGCTCCCGGCGCGGATCACAGCCACTAGTTCATTCAAAACACAATCACTTTCATGTACTAGTAGTAATTTTGTAGGAGCAGGGTCCATGAGTTTGCCTGAACCTGTGTGAACTGAAGTACTGAACAATATTCTCATACTGCTACATATGGTCCTGACTGCTCATGAAATGCCTGCATTTTCATAGTGCTAGTGTCTGCACATGTGACTGTCAGACTTCTAGACCGGCTTAGTCCCGTGGTCAGTATTACGCATTCCAGCCGACGCATTTGGGTGCCTTACTACAGGAATTGGTAGATTGGGAATACAAGAGCCTGGAAGATGGGAAAATGCATGCATGTGGACATGATGCTCACACAGCAATGCTTCTAGGAGCTGCCAAGCTACTTCAGTCCCGCAAGGAAGACCTAAAGGTATTCATTCTGTAATCTACTCGACCGCGTGAGTACTATTTTTCTGAGCTCGATCAATCATGAAGCCACCAAGTTCTACACTCCCTATCCATAAAGATAAGTCTTATGTTGTTTTTGTTTCCGTCACCAGGGCACCGTGAAGCTTGTTTTCCAGCCAGCAGAGGAGGGCAGCGGCGGCGCCTACTACGTTCTGGAAGAAGGCGTTCTCGACGACGCGTCGGCGATTTTCGGCCTGCACGTCGATCCAGCTCTGCCGGTGGGTGTAGTTTCGTCCAGGCCAGGGCCATTTGCCGCGACCTCGGGTCGATTCCTGGCGACGGTCACAGGAAAAGGTGGGCACGCCGCTGGCCCCCATGACGCCATTGATCCCGTTGTAGCAGCATCGTCCGCCGTCCTAAGCATCCAGCAGATCGTCTCTCGGGAGATCGATCCCCTCCAGGGTGCAGTATGTGATCTGTTTCCTACAGTCCTCGACTACCTAAGTACAGACTGAATAATCCTAGTGTGACAGACCAGTTGTGCACTTTCAGGTGGTTTCCATCACCTTTGTGAAGGGAGGAGATGCTTACAACGTCATTCCCGAGTCGGTCGCCTTTGGTGGCACCTTGAGGAGCATGACAGATGAAGGGTTGTCATATCTGATGAAGAGGATCAGAGAGGTAAAAATGTCTTCGTTTCCAACATCTACAGGGTACATCTAGTGCATTGTATTATCGAAGTACTGTAGAATGTACCGTTCAGAGTGGCATAGACAAAGGCGATATATAACTGATTAGTACATTTTTATGCCTGTTCCGAAGATCGTTCAAGGGCAAGCTGCAGTGCACCGCTGCTCTGCCTCCGTGGACTTCATGGAGGAAACGATGAGGCCGTACCCGGCTGTCGTCAACGCCGAAGGGATGTACGCGCATGCCAAGGAGGTAGCCGGGAGGTTGCTCGGGGAAGAGAACGTCAGGGTGGCTCCCCAGCTCATGGGAGCGGAGGATTTCGGGTTCTACGCGCAGAGGATGGCGGGCGCCTTCTTCACCATAGGAGTTGGCAACGAGAGCACCATGGAGCAGCTCCGCACCACGCACTCCCCCTACTTCGTGATCGACGAAGATGCGCTCCCGGTTGGAGCTGCCTTCCATGCCGCCGTGGCCATTGAGTACATGGAAAAGCACGCATCGGCGTGAAAACTGAACCTGGCCAACACAAAAATGGGCATGAGTGGCATTTGGGGATGTCAAACTCATTTCTAACGGAGTCCTCTCAACCAAAGTACGTCGTCCCACCATTGCATGTATTCTTAGAGCATCTACAGCCAGACTGGCAAATCCGGCCCCACATACGCTCCCACCCCAAATAATATAATCCACGTCCGGACAGCTTCATTACCATATCTCAAATCCATACAAACTGATGCAACTACGTTGACGCACACGCATCGTCCGGCTACTCCATCACACTACACTAAACATTCCATCCGACTACCAAAATTTGGCATGTTTGACTATGGTGGAGTTCATCAATGGCTGCCCTCACCCTTCCCGGTGCCCTTGCCGTCCTTCTCGCGGAAGTACCGGTCAAAGACGCAGTATGGATCGAGCTGGATCTGCTTGTCACCGGAGCTGTCCTCGCCGTCACTGTCCTCCCGGCCATGGCACGGACCGTCCGATTCAGCTCTCGGGCGAGGGCGCGCGTGTTCCTCCACTGCCATTTCTTCACAATGAGGGTGCAGATGGTTTCCTCCTCTGCGGCCGCCCGCGCCGTCGCATCAGCCGCCTCCTCCACCGCCATTTCCGCCGCGATACGGGCCTAAGCGGCCCTTATCATCTCCTTCCCACGGCAGACCGCCCGTTCCCGGTAGGACTCATACTCTGCCCGACTAATGATGGGGAAGGAGAGGTGTTCCGGCCGGGACCGCGAGGATCCAGCACTAGAAGACCCGAGCGCCCGGTGAGTCGACGCTATGGCGTCATGGCGGACGGATCCGTCCGTCAGCCGGGCGCTGTCCTCCTGGGAGTGGCGGAGTTCAATGCGTACTGCCATTGCCTCCTCCAACCCACACGGGATGACACCTAGTCAACGGATACGGACTGGTCGGAGTCCGATCCGCTGCCTGCCATGGCGGAGAAGGCCGGAAATTGACGGAGGTAAGCTCGGGTGGCGGAGGGGAGTGGAGTGAAGTGGCTAGGATTTGCACTGGCGAGCGGATGTGGACGAATATAAGTGGGGTTGGGTGGGCCAGCATGGGCCGGGTCCGACATGGCGGGCGTGCCCGGGGGCGCTCGGGCGCCCCCATATCCGCCCCATATTTGGGACGGTTATGGGGGGTGTCGGTCAGCCCGGGCGTTTGAGACCCATTTCACTACTAGAAAAAAGGCTGTTAGTGGCGCACCAGTTTTTTGTATTAATGACGCACTATAGGTGAGTCACTATTAACACGCCACTCGTAACAAATAGTAATGGCGCACCTCTGGTGGCCATTAGTATCCCAGATAATAGTGGCGCACCACATCATGCACCATTACTATGTCCAACAGTGCGCCATTACTATGCCTCCTAGGGGGGCATATTTACCTTCACGTATGCCCCCAAGTGCGCCATTACTATGCCCCATAATGCGCCACTGGTATTTAGCCTTGGTGCGCCACTAATGCTCAATATGGTGCGCCACTACTGGGGGCCATATTTGCCATTATGAATATTAGGAATTATTATTTTTTGCTTTTCTGGTATTTGCACAGGTTACAAAATACGTTACAACACAGAATATAAACATCACACAATAGAATTCATCATATTAGTCTCCAAATTCGAAATAGCGAACAAAGTCCAAACATTAGCCAAGTTTAGGTCTCGAGACATTAGCAAAGTTCATCATATTAGCCGAGTTTGTCGTCACATTACAAAGTCGATATCGATCATCTAAACTACCATCACATAGAAGAGAGCTGCGGTCACGATGAGCATCATCGCGATGAAACTGGTCTTCATCCGGTTCCTCCTCCGCTCCCTCCTCTCCCCCGCTAGATAGCGCGCGTATCTAGCTTCCGCCTCCGCACTAGTGGTGTACCCTTTGTAACTGTTATCGCTAAAACGGTGAACCTGTCTTCGACACTCCTCCCAGTCGTCATAGACTCCGGGAACCTTACCCTTGTACACGACATATGACGGCATCTCTATGCACTAGACAAACAAAACGTTAGTAGCAATTCACAAATAATATATAAGAATATATAAGTATGCAACAAAAGGATCGGAAGAGAAAAGCAATACATTAATAGCACGATTCATGGTCCTACTAATAAATAGCACCGATTACATATAAGTTGAACGACTATCCAAACTAAAGAGACATACAAGTTCATTAAATTTTAATTACAACATGAGATAATCAATATTTCAGAACTACATAGCATCAATACTTTCGACTCGACTCAGGGACCGGAGCATGGATGAAGCCACCGTCTATCGTGATGGTCATGAATGTGCGGTCGTTGTCAGCCTGCATTTGTAGCGTTGTTTCTATTTCACTGTTGGACGGTTGATATTTGAGGTAGAACTGCCCCGAGGTACGAAGGACATCTTGAAAGATGATTTCCGCAAACTCCGACTGGATGCGAAAGAATTCTTGTCTGATGTCCGTGTCCTGGATTGCCGACAAGCGTGCGGCCCAGTCTTTGAAATTATTTGGTAGCATAAGGTGATTATGGTCCCGTACGACCGCCCGCATGTGATGGAGGGCGTAGTAGGCATCCTTCTGACTGCCAGGCGGCTGCTTGACGCAGGGGAACATCGTTACGTGGGTGAACACGTGCTTGCCATACCTACAAATTGGCCTCCTGAAGGTGCCTCCAGATTTGGTGTAGCCGGGGAAAGCATCATCAAAAACTTTCTTAATATTTGTGTAGTCTTTCTTCGACTGACGGTTCGAGTCGAAATACGTGGCCATGGAATATTTCGGGCTTAAGAGGATAAGTGTGCAATGTGTGTCACTGCACAAAACACGGAATGTTAGAAAAAAAGAACGATCGAAATCAAAGAAATCATATGTTACGGGGCGGTGAGGGGATGACTTACTCGGAAAAGTAAGGCACGAGGAAGTTATCCTTATCTGGGTTCACCAGAATGACGCCTTCGAGGTATGAACTCGCGACTTGCCGGTCCCCAGCGCTGCCCAAGATCTTGGCACGCATGTAGAAGGGGTCGACTTTCACGATGTCCGGGGTCTTGTCTCTAATGACCGCATCTCCATATGGAGCGAAAATAGCCGAATGAAGGTGTAGTGCAGCGGATGAAGGTTAAACATAGCGAAGATGTCATCAAACCGCATGACGATAATACGCCCGATGGTGCTATCGACAAAGCCCTTGCCCTCTGGCACCTTGGCCACGAAAACCGGGTATGCCACATCATTCTCGGAGAGATGCCGCTTCTCCATAGAAAGAACACAGTCATGCAGACTCCGCATAGCACCGGTTGCAACATTGAGCAGATTAGTCGGTAGCATCGGCCTACCTGCCACATGAACCCTCCTCGAGATATCCTTAGGTATTGGTGGCCCGTCCTGAGCACGGATCGTACTAGTGCCGGCTGGCTCGCACCCTTGTTATTTTTCTTTTCCGTCCCTTCTGCTTCTTCTGCTGTAATGGGATCGAGTTCTGCTCAGAGACCACCTACTTGAGTGTGTTAGGGTTGATAATATTTCGCACCTAGGCTATTTGAGTCTCGGTGAAGGCGGCAACTGGAGGCGTCTCCTGAGAACTGAACGCCAAACGACGCCTCTTGCAATTGGGTTTCTCCGTGGTACCAGCTAGATCGCGATCGTCTTTTGCAGGGCTGGGTTCTTGAGAAGGAGGCCCCAAGAATTCGTCACCATACCCATGTTCGTTGAAATACTTATCGACGTTAGAAAATGTACCATCGTCGTCATCCGGATCCTGTGCCATATGCATGTTTGGATCAGCTGACGGCGGTAGCGTTGCGGCGGTCTTGCCATGGCTTGGCGACGGCACGACTGGCGGTGTTGTCTGTGGGGTGGTGTCCCCCGCCCCCAAATGAATCTGACTCTTTGACCAAAGCAGGGACAAGCTTAAGCAGGCGCTGAGGGTCATCACATCATCTTCGTCGGCCCCAGGGGGTCGAAACGGAGGTAACAAGTCATCGCAGCCCCGCAGCACCCGAACCAGTTGAACCCTATACACGGTGGGTGGCATCGGGTTACCATGGAACACACAGTTGCCTGGTTGAATGGTTTTGGCCTTGGCGACATCGATCAACTCGCTATCCACGAAGTGCAGGAGAGTGCATGGAACGTCGGCGACGCCCTGCGAAAACATGTTGGGCGTCAGGGATGCCCAGTCAAAGGCAAGGAGATGAAGTCATCGGCCGAGGCTTAGTTACCGTGATAGCGTCGAGCTCGGCTAATGTCGAGGCACTGCCAACGGCGGGCGTGCAAGTGACGGAGGGGCCGCTTGCTGCCGAGGTGCCAGCCGACATATTCTTCCCACACCCGGGTGCATTAAGTTCCAATGCCGGCGCCGACGCCGGAGACACCAATGCCGACG